AAGAGAATGAAAGATTACCTTTTCTCTAAATACAAAGTAAAATATATGATTCTTAGAATTCAATAGCTCATTCATTGACGTGTCCGGACCTTTTTGTACATTATATTTTAAGTTTCACCATTGAAGGGACTCACTGCATCTTCCAGTAACTTGAAATATACTTGTGCTGAAATCTAGTTGGCACTGAGAGTTTTTGCTGTATTCAGGCATATCATTGAAGACACAGGAGTTATATGCTATGGTGTTCTTGGCTCGGTATCTGGATTTGTTCAGTGACTTCATATCTCTTTACAACACTGTGATGAAACTGGTTTTTATTGGAAGCTCTTTGGCAATTGTCTGGTGTATGAGGTACCACCGGGTTGTCAGGCGCTCATATGACCGTGAGCTAGATACTTTTCGTTACTGGATTCTTGTTGGAGCGTGTTTCACTTTGGCGCTTGTTCTTCATGAGAAGTTTTCCTTTCAGGAGGTTAGTAGTGATCTCTAAATGTTCTAACTATTTTATATGGATTTTCCTAGCAATGATAATCCTGCTTCTTCTCGCTTAATTTTTTATGATAGCTGGTGACTTATATATGTTGATCTTGGCAAGCACAGCATCCTGTTGGTGCTTGCGACAACCATGTTTTCAGAGTTGAATTTTAATAGGCTGGCTACTGTAAATAGTGAATTTCGCTAGAAGTGTTGTGTTGCTTTGAATCCATTACTAGTGACATCGAATACATTAACAGCTATGCCTCAATTCTATGCAAGTTTGGGTCGGCTATATGAATCATCACTGACCATGTCACTCCATTCAAGCTCATCTCAAACTTCCGGTTGCCGGTGCAATGCACTCCTAGATGGGCACGTCCGGTTGCTATTTTCAGTATCATGAGGATTCATGGTAAATTGACTAATTTTATGCTGTTTGTCAGCCTACCATGATCCTCCTCCTTTTTTTTTTATTTGCACCGGGTGTCCGAGTCTCTAAGAGCCCCGACTAATCCCGGGGGTGCACAGGCCCTCGGCAAGGAGTTTCCCGCAAGTGCACCACGGTTAATTCAAGTTTTACCCAGTCCGATGGCTCTCAGAAATTGTTTGCACCCAGTGGGTTTCGAGACCTTGAAAGGGAGCAAACCCCAAGGCTCAAGTCTATTGCCACCAGGCTCAAGTCCATGATCCTCCTCCTTTATCCGGGCTTGAGACCAACAATGTGAGCAAGCTCACATAGTCAGTACGTCACTGAGTGAATGAACACCATAAAATGTCTGTTTGCTATTACTCACATGCTACTCTGCATGTACATGGTTATAGCAACCTTGAAAGAATGCTTGTACAGACCTTCTTAAGGTAACCCATTTCATGATTATCTCTGAGTTTGCATGACAAGCTATGAACGATTTTATAGTGACCTAGGAGTTCTCATAAGAAGATATAAACTCTTTACGTCGGCAATATACGGTCGGCAGCCTGACACATATTGAGATGATATGTTTGCAGTCATGTGAATGGTTAGACCTTCCTTAAGTAATCAGATGTTGTTAACATCTGAATAAGCCTACCCTATCTTCAAGAAGAATTTCTGTAATAGCCATTTGGGTTAGTTGTTTGCATCTCTTGTATTGGAATGTTCTGTTATGATGATTTAACCAGATCCGAGGGCAAACAAAGTTGACTGAAGTTTGACCTTGTCTATTTTGTATTTGACTCTGGGCTCTGGCTACTTTCCCCTATTCAGAGCCAGCTGAACTCTCGAATTCTTTTTTCCACTGTCCTTGCCAAATATTCTCATCCTCTATAACCTTACTAGGTCAATGAAACTCTCAATGCGTATGGGCGTGGATTTTGTGCATTTCTTTTGCGACTTTGTTGTTCATAGTATGTTTCATTACAATTTGCATGAGTAAAGACATCTTCTTGTCTATACGATTGCAATATCTTCCTGTATTTTCATTCTTGGTTTCCCTTCCGTTCCATTCACCTAGTTGTCTGTCTTGGCAGTGTTAACAATATAAGGTTCCTCCATTAAGCCCAGTACATCAAAAGAGAAAAAAAGAAGATAAATGAGATTTCTCAGTACTCATGGTATCCTTATACTTTGACTCGTCAGTTTATATCATTAATGATTGAGTCTCTTCTTTTTATTTTGTGGGCTAGGAGAGGAAAAGGGAGGGGATGGGGGAGAAGTGCCAGTGAGGATTGAACCTTACGCTATGTTGCAAGGTGCTATGCTAATTAATAAGCTTCCATTCAGAATGTCCGCAATGACCCAGTGGCAGAGATTGTTACTTGTTTTCTTTGTCCTTTTTTGGCCGAGTCTTGATTCTCGAATTTAAATTTGCTTGCTCCCTGTTGACACTGTTGATGCTACATATATTGTTGCTTCAGGTGTTTTGGGCTTTCTCAATATACCTGGAGGCAGTTGCCATTCTTCCCCAGTTGGTACTCTTGCAAAGAAGTGGAAACGTTGATAATCTGACTGGCCAATATGTGTTCTTCCTTGGGTATGCTTCTTCTCCAGTATCTGGCCACTTCCTGAAAGGAAATTATTTTGCATCATATTTTGAAAATTGGAGCAATTTTATGTTGATTTGGGGATATCTATTTTTTTCTATCTGAGTTCGATTATCAGTCAGAGCTGACATTGGACAGTTTTCTGTTTAATTATTTTCATAAGTTCGTACAAATTTATTTCAGAACAGCCCAATTGAGTGCTGCTAGAAAAGACTAGTCTCCATTTTAATTATGCAGGGAGTTAATGAAGTTCATCCAATAATCTATCGTCTACACGATTGTGAACATTTGAACTCAAAATAATGTGATACATATTCTTCCTTCAAAGCATTGGTTCCTCTTTTCCATATACCCACACGATGCATGGTGGAACTGTATTCTCTTTGTAGTTTCTATCTTCTCCAGCTTGTGGAAGTGTTCTTCAGTAGTGCGCTTTAACCACTGATCTCCAAAAAAAATTAGGAACATACTCCAGATCTTCCATATTACAGTACAATGCAAAAGAAGATACCTTAGGTCCTGAGAATCCTTTTTTTACATGTATAACATTTTTGCAAGTGATGCTTTCTTTACTCTGCAGGATAGGATCTTCTGTTAAAATGTTTCCTTAAGCCGTTGAACTATTTATTGTGATAGCAACTATAGCCATCTCACTGCCAAAGAAAGGGAAATGATTAGTAAGGTCATTGTATGAAAAAAAAATGGATTTTTGGTCTCTTTCTCACACCACGCTCACTGTCTATCCGTATTTATCATCCGTCTTGATTTTGTTTCTCTTCCCTTTTGTATTATAATCCTTGGAGCAGAAAGGGATCTAACCATTAAAGGTTCTAAGTTATGTACACACGTTAGATATGTTCCTTTCTAGTTGTATTATGTCAGGCATAATAATTAATATTTTACAATTGGATTTCAAATAGTTTAAGGATTTATTGGGTATTGTCACTGACATGCTGGATTTATAATTACAGGGCTTATCGTGCATTTTACATCTTAAACTGGATTTACCGCTATTTGACAGAGCCGCGTTTCACTAGATGGATATGTAAGTTTTTCAAGATACAACCAGTATTATTTGTTTGCCACTCGCAATGGTTCTTCAAAGTTGAATTATGTTTTTCCTTTTGCAGCTTGCGTCTCTGGCCTTGTCCAGACGGCCCTTTATGCAGATTTCTTTTATTATTACTTCATCAGGTAACAATTCCTTAAAGCTTGTTGGAGTGGCTATTTCTTGACGCTGTGAACAAACTACTATTAAATTTGTTTTGTAGTTGGAAAAATAATGCCAAGCTTCAACTGCCCGCATGACGGCATGAGGCAAAGACAAGATATGATGAACAGTTTTAACAGCTAACTGGGACCTGGTTGCATGCTGTGGCTTGCGGACATAAATTTTGGCATACTACTTTTCTTTAGACGTGATGATCATATGATTGAGTTGGCGGTGGGTTTTAAGTATTTTACTGAGCTCCTACATTGTTAGATTCAGATACAGTACCCGTGTTAATATGATGGGAATATGTTGATTAGGAAATGTTGTCTGCATTCATGTCAAATGTGATTCAAACTTTCAAAGATATAAAGGTATGACTAATCAATTATTTTGCTTCGTGCATGTATGGTTCACATATGTTTGCATATCTTCTTCCTTATTATCCATGTGCCTTTGTACTTTGTTCTTAGCAAATGCTGAACGATTTTAATTTTTCAATTGATCTTGATAACCGTTCATATTTATATGATATTCATTGTCAATGCGAGTATGTGACCTTTGAGGAAAGCAGAGGAACAATACTTTGGTATAGACCTGTAATCAATAACTGGCTATATCTGGTAGATTTGAGATAGATTTATTGAATACAACCTCCTTCAAAGACTAAATTGAAAACCAATGCCATCTTAATGGGAATTATTCTCGCCCGTTCTAATCGTTTTCCTTTAAAAAAAAATTCTTCTTAATTTGGTATGCAACTGAAAGAGTACTTAGTCAAAGTCATGTGTTGGTCACTTGCATAACAACTTGCAACAACTAGTACTACGTCTGTTACGATCACAAGTTGAGATTAGTAATATGGATTTTTGTCTATTATTTCGCTTTATTTAATATTATATAAAACAAAAATAAAAAGTTGTAGAAGTACGCTACGAGAGACTAAATTGCTAACATGATTAAAACTTGTTTGAACTTACTGGTATCTTATACAGATTCTTTTCTTCCTTTTTGCGTACTTTTTGTTAGGTCTGTATGGATTTTAAAAGATCATAAGTCATTCAAGACAACTTTCTTCCGCGTGATTTTTGACCTACCACCCCGTTTGTACACGATCTCTCACTATGCTTTACACCTACATACCGGTACATCTGAAAGTCGATGTAGGATATGACCAAACCATCTCAAAGTAACAGTTGGAGGATAGAAAATGCATAATCAGTAAGCTTTCAAAATCAAACGAACAATTCAGACACTTGAATAGAGAAGCTCTTTGGTGGACCCCTTTTTATCCATTGGCTGACAAATCGAACAACAAAAGATTTAAAGCTTAATTTGTAGTCACATCCAGAAAGCTTTATTATTTCGATAGTTTTTGGCTGAAAGGGTATTATCTAAATGACCTTTATCATTCTGAATTTCCGATAATGCCTAATCAACAGGAAAGCAAAGATGAATACCCCTATAGTCCATATATTTTATTAAATCACAATACTACAGTACAACAAGAATGTCAGATGAGAATGGGAATCTCTCTCTCTCTCTCTCTCTCTCTCTCTCTCTCTCAGAGAGGAGAGGGCAACCAGTCGAGCATTTCACCAGCAAACATGGGAACGATATCTCCCGATGCATAGGAAAAGGATTCGGGCACCTTCCATGGCGTCTTGCTCAACTTAATCTTTGAGTTGTTCCTCGGAAGCCCATAGAAATCTGGTCCATTGAAGCTAGTAAATGCTTCCAGCTTGTCAAGTGCGTTCGCCTAAAGTGCAAACAACCAAATTTATGTCATTGACATATAGCGGTAGCTACTAATTAAAGAATTCATCAGAAGTAGTTAAAAACATTATATTAACATGGAAAGAATTCAACACACAGCAATATGATAAATTTTATTCTCGTGATGCAAGATAAGTCTTGAGTAAAGAAGTTATTTTTTAGGACAAATGAACAGGGCATGTTTTCATCCATTTCCATCAAATTTCAAACAAAGAGTACAAAAATGACATTCGCAAGAAACACTATAAACATCCATTGCAATTACCTGTTCAAACACCTTAGCATATGCTGATAAGGCTACAGGAGCATTGTAAATACCAGCACACCCGCAAGAACATTCTTTCTTTCGTCTATCATGAGGAGCGCTGTCAGTCCCAAGAAAAAATCTTTTACTTCCACTTGTTACAGCTGACACAAGAGCCTGCCCTGTATAGTTCAAAGTGAAACTGCTTAGATTAGAATATGTACCAAGTGAACAAGAGAAAAGTAGCAAAATATGGGAAAGACCAATGCTATAGATCTTGTAACCACGTGAGTGATGAATCTATATATACGATAAGAATTTTGTTTCAAGCACTTGTTCACTTTTTTATTTCGAAAAGCAATGGATGGAATTAACAAATTAAAGAGAGCCTGGTCATATAGTGAATCGTGACACATATATTAGCATCAGCAAGACTAAAACTTTCATGACTCTTACAAAGAGCCAAAAAAAAAAGGTTAGACGAGGAAACTTTCAGCAAATTATTGTACGTGAAAGGGTCAATAACAGGCAAATACAGCTTCTACCTAACTTTCACATATTCAAGGTAGATGGCGCTAATCCAATTCTTCTTTTTTATGGTGACAGTATATCTTAGATAATCCATAAAGCAAGATCAAAATGCCATATTCTAACACGATAGTAGGCATTTAGACAATATCTTTTTTGAAGTATAAGCAAGGGTTCCACACCATAGCCAGGTGTAGCTAAAGAAGCATACCACATCAGTTGGTATTTATGTCCTTCCTTTTATTCTGGTCAGACACATGTATGTTCGTGCAGGACAAAAAGAGATCTAGAGAACCTCTAGTTTAAAAGAATCCCTAATTTTCCTTAAAAGACAATTACTCATTACTGGAAAAATATTAACCAGGAGTGGAGCCGAATGGCCACAGAGGATTCGTGTAGTGTAGCCGACCCAAACTATTTGGACATGAGGCGAAGTCAAGTGATATAAGTTGCACTCTAGATCTTTTCAAGCTTTTAACTAAGAAGGCGTGTCTGTTGAGCTACATCTTTACATCCAACAATGCGCTCAAGTAAAAAATGGCAGAGAAACAAGCTCAAAAATAACCTTGGGAGGAAATTCTAATGCTAGTTATATTCTCATACAAGTACCTTGCCTTCAAAAAAAGCTATATTCTCATACATTACCTTACCTTCTCAAAACCTATATTCTCATAAATTATGGTTGGACGGAGTGAAAAAGGACTCACTGGAAGGAAAGTAAAGGATGAGGAAAAAATTAACCTTGCTTGAGGAAAACGTGTAGGATATGCAACTCCTCAACTTTTCAAAAAAAACCGTCTAAACTTGGGGAATTGGAAATCAACATCTTCCACTTCAGTTGGAGTCGAACCAAACAAGTGGAGGTTAATGGTAAGTCCTTTATGCAGGAGAAGAAAATGAACAAGTTCTCATCCCCTTCGTTGAACCAAACAAGGTCTACATGACATTGTAGTCACTAAGGTGGTTAAAAAGAATCCTAGCTGGTTTTTCAAAATTTAAAAGAAATGTTACTTCATGATTGTTCTTCAAACCGGAAGACAAGCACCAAATATACAAGAAAAATCTGAGCATCAATACGAAAAGATAAAGGATATTACTGTGGATCTCTCTTTTGAGAACTGGAAGGCAGTAATTATGCGGTTGCAAGCCCCCTTGGAAGAGAGAATTCCTGTTTAAAACAAGATGCTGTGGGGTGACAGTCGCTGCAACATTTCCTTTAAAAGAACGATAGCAAGGCTAAATTAGCATTTGAAAAAGGAGGGTCAATAAAGTTCTTTCAACTGACAAGAAGAGAGAAGTTCAAAGAGGTGGACAAGTAGAAAAGATCACCTTCAGTGCAAGATTCAACAAACTTTACAGCATCCATGGTGGTAACATGCTCCATCACGACCTTCAATCGTGGAAATTTCTGAACCAAAGGGCTTAGAACCGTTTCAATGAATACTTTTTCTCGATCAAAAATGTCAACCTCAGGATTTGTAACCTCTCCATGAACCTGCAGTCAACTGTAATACATAAAAATCCTATGAAATGAAGTTATTTCAAGGAAAATGACAAAAACCACAAGCTTTGGCAGGATATTTGGGAGAAGAAAAAGACATGATTAAGGTTGAGTTACTACAGTTAAATGCTGAATTTATTTTATAGAGATCCAAAAGATAAAATGAAACTAGAAAAGCGACTAGCATAGGAAAGAAATAATAAGAGAAGGTTCAAGGAACAGACAACAGCATTTCTGTTTGAAATAAAAAACAATAATAATCCTGAAAACGCGGCGCACTAGAATATGTTGATAGTAATAGACTTGATGAGATCAATTCTAGCAGTCTCCAGTATCCATAAGCAAAGCAGAAAAAAATTGGAAAAAATAAGTGCTGCTCTGTTATGAAATGTTAGTAGTCCCAGCTAAATGGATGACAATAACAGCTATCATTGTAAAAGTCAATGATGAACAAGTATTACCATAAGAATTATGCTGATAATTAATCTGTAATAATGTCTTAAATAGGGTGAAAAGTAATCAACACTTTAAGATAGTTTGACCACAAAGACTAGTTCAGAAACTTCTTATAGAAGCAATCAATGATGGGTTACTTCCTTTTAAGTTTTAACTGACCGATGATCTGTTCGAAAAGAAGTTTTAACTGACCAAAGCAAAGACAAAACCATGGCACTGTGAAAAGTTTACTTCACATGGCCACATTTGTCCAAGTCAGCGAGTTTACTGCGTAGTTGTGCAGTAAAGGGCGAGAACATGATTGGTGCACTGTTATCTTGTATGCAGCTCCATTCATTACTTCGACATATTCTTTCACTGAGTGCAATTTTCTTCTCTTAAAATATATATTATCTTTTTGTTCCAATTGTGTTTAATAATGTGAACATATCACAAATGAGGGTCCTTCTGTTCTTGAGAGTACCATAGTTTTTGTCTTTTTTTTTCGTCAAAAGGCAAAGTGCTCTTATTGAGAGGTTACTGAATCTTCTTTGCGTTTTCCCCAACATAACCTCTCAAGAAGAAGACTAGCCTTCAAAAGATGCATCAGCCAACCGCTAAAACCTAGAGCTAGCACGGACATAAAGAGACAGGTTTTAATGTGCAGCTTTCTACAATGTAAATAGCAATATTTTATGGCGGTAAGGTTAGCATGTACATTAGAGCTTATGCAACGTTCTAGTGGAACAAGAATCACTTAGCACCAAGTTTAGCATCAAGTTACCAGCAGAGGCATATTATGCTCAACCATTTCCTGTAGAACTGGTAAACACTTCCCGAAGAGATCAGTCACTCCATCTTGTGAATTTGTCGTGGCACCAGCAGGATATAGCTTCACCCCAAATACGACCTGGCTCTCTCCTGTTTTACTCTCATCTTATTAGAAAAAGTGGACAAAATACTAGATAAAACAGCAAAAAGAAAAAGACAAAACAAAGGATAATACATAAATGCTTTCTTGGAAAGAAAAATATGAACATGGACCATTCACTATGGAAAGAACACTGCACCCAGCTGACTGTACACAATCAGTTTAACTTAAATGCTACAAAATTTAACATGTTTAAATTCCCACGGAAGTAAGTGGAGCCGGACTTTGTAAAGGACAAGAGCCTCGCTACATTGACTTCCAGGGGCGAAGCCGGAGACCAAGTTACGGTTTCGGCCGAACCAAATAACTTTGGTCTAAACTTCGCCTTTATTTAATATGTACAACTTATTAGTTTAGAACCCAGTAACTTAAAAAACATATAATACTGAACCCATAAACTTCAAATTTTAGCTTCGCCTCTACTGACTTCAGAAATTCAAGGATTATGATCTAACACGGAAGTAGACATAACAAGAAGACCAAAAAAAAAAACAAAGGATGGCAGGTAGCCAAGAATCTAGCCTTGAACTTTAAAGTCTTAAGAACAAATTATGAATTACACTTCCCTGAACATCTAGAAAGCCAAACCACCCAAGTAGGACGTTAGAAGCAAAGCAACAAGGAGAAATTGGTTTCGGACTAAATTTGAAAAGAATTTTAAGGTCTTATGTTCAAATTTGGAACTACATTTCCCTGACCACCTAGTACCATTTATATTACCACCTGAAAAGCTAAACAAAACCACCGAAGTAAGATGCTAGAAGCAAGACTGCAGAGAAAAATAGTTTTTTATTAACCATAGATATACATTGTCACAATAGCAAAACTAAAACGTCAGCTTTTGAATGAATTAATGAAGAACTACAATGTCTCTTATTTCAGCACTACTTAAAGTTTCACTAAATAGGCTTTCTAGTGGTGCCTTTTCTGTCATGATCTTAGTGACACTTATATACGACTATTATCATTCACTGAAACTTTTTTTTTCCTAAGATACGTGCCTGCACTATGATAGAAGAATGTCATATATGCACTAGTTGAGCTTTATGCAGTTATAGCATAGAAGAATAACATCTAATGTTTACCCTACCTTATCACCCCCAAAAAAAAAGAATAACATCTAACTTATGTGATTTTAAATAAAAGAAATTTCCATATAAAAAATATATTGGACTTACTTGCTAGTTTGATTTCAAGAGGACTGGTTGTATCTGTCAAATAAAGTGTCATAAGAGGATTGAAATCACTATTGGCAGGCAAAGATTTCATTATCGCTTCCCGGTATGCTACAGCAGCAGCGGTGGTCGTGATAGGAGGCTTCAAATTTGGCATAACTATTGCCCTCCCAAAGTGATGTGCACTATATCAAAGAATGCAGCATGAACAAGTCAAAATCAAGATAGGAAACCGAATTAAACAAAGTGGTAGAAGAAGGAAAGAAGGAACTGAACATAAACTATAAATTATCATAATCGGCTACTCAATATTGATTAGAGTCCCACACCATCAGCTTAAGAATTTAACTAAAAACCTGTGCGAGACAACTGTCTTAAGAACGTCACCATCACGAAGATGAAGATGCCAATCATCAGGTCGTGTGATTGAGAGCTCCATTTTTGCACTATAGGCTTTTGACGAGCTTTTCCGTCCAAAGCTAATAACTGGTATATGTGAAATCTGGATAACAATAATTTGATTTGATTAAAGAGGTGTGATTTTTTAAGCCAAATATAGAATATCTTAATAGAGTAACCCGAAAGCGAGAAAACCAAAGATATTATTTTCCATAAACTCAAAGATATAGAGCTGATTGGTTCGTAAACTCTATTGCACTACTCTGAGCCAAAGGAAGGTTATGTATCTTGTATCTAGCACATGTGGTACATCAGAGCAAGGGAAGCATTTGAAGTAGGGACCAAAATTGTTTTCCATAAATACACTCTTGCACTAATGTGTCAAATATCTTGTTAAATTTGAAAAAGTAATCATTAAATGCAACATCTACTTAGAAGTGATAAAGTCCTTCAGAACTACATATAACAGAATAAAGGATGAAATTCGTTATGGTTTAAGCAAAAATTATTGCACACATTACATCCTAAAAGACAGTCAGGAAAAAGGGAGGGTGGGCGGAATAGGAGCGCATGGAGGTATAAGGGAAAATACATCCAAATGCTTGAATTGGCTTGCAGTTATTGGATAATAATATCAAGGGGAAAAGGCCAAATATGCCCCTCTACTATGTAAAAAGGATCGAATATATCCTCCGTTATACTTTTGGTGCAAAAGTACCCCTGCTGTTACACGATTGGTTCAAATATGTCCCTCCTCCGTTAAGCTTGTCCAAGGTGGAACCCGAATCCTACATGGCACTGATATTATAGTGAGATGGACACCAGATGGCGTGCCACCTCACTTTCCCTAACCTATTTTACCCCCTCCCCCATATCTTCTTCCACCAGTACTACCACACTAAAAGAAAACAAAAAAGAGAAAGATAGCTCACGTGTAAGAAGAATAAGTCTGGCCAGTTGACAGGAAGGTCATAGCAAATAGATGATGATTAAAGAGAGTCTCTACTAGGATGATAATGTTGTTAAAATGAATCATATTCTCCGTCTTAACAAAAATGGATTACAACTAATCAAGAAATGAAGGAAAGATCAATTGAGAAAGCTCAACGATGATTGGACAAGGGCCAATCTTAATTCCAACATACACAAAAGAAAGGATCAGAAATAAACTTGTCTATTCGAGTCTTTGGTGGCAATGAACCATAAACAACAGAGCAAAGATGGCTTTCCCCCATTTCAATTCCGTTAACATCAAGAGAAATAGTATAAATCAAGATAAATTAAGTTCAATGGCTATTCAAAATCTGAAATTTGATCAGTGGGATTATGCGATGTTGGACAAGATTTAACTCGTATGGAAGCTACACGAATTGAAGGCTAACTGATTCAACTTGCTCCTATAAGGATATACATTCTACATAACAATTAACTGCATATGTTTACCCAGTTGTGCTGTGATTAAGACTTGGCAAGCCAATTACTCCAGTAACTAAAATTCACTTGATCTCAACTTCTCCTATCAGTTTAAACAAGATATATGATAGCAATTAGCAACAACGGTGGATGGAGAGGAGGTGTAGTAGTGGAGGAAGAAGTGGGGAAGGGGGTAAAATATATTGGGGAAAGTGACAGGGGCACGCCATATGGTGTCCATCTCACTATAATGTTAGTGACATGTAGGATTTGGGTTCCGCATTGGACAATTTTAACGGAGGAGGGGCATATTTGAACCAATTATGAATCGGCAAGGGTATTTTTGCACCCAAAGTATAACGAAGTAGTTAATGGTAAGTGGAGAAGATATTGCCTTTGTTAACTATTCCAACAGATACAATTCAAAAACGGAAAAGGGCCTAAACTACCCTTATCGTTTGCTAAATGGTTTAAAAATACCCTCCGTCCATCTATCCGTCCAAAAAAGCACACGACGTTAATTCTATTATTAAAATTACCCCCACGTTTAACGGAAGAACCTGTGGGCCTTCAATCTAATGACATGGCAATTTTTTACTGGACCACGTGGCAGTTTCGGGCCAAAATAACTTATTTCGACCCACTTACCTGATTCGACCCTAAGTTTGTTACATGGGTCATAAAACTACATTAACCCTACCGATTTTCAGTCTTCTTCTCCCAATTAGGATCTTGGTCATCTGAAAAGCTCATATGTGCTTCTGCCCCAAAATTTCCTTTTCCTTCAAAGCTTGATTTTGTGTGTAAACATTGTGCCTTTATTAAATTACTTTACAGCTAAATTAAATCACTCACCGGAAAATTCAAAACACTAGCCGGAAAAGCAATAATTTCGTTAAAGTTATCGGAGAAATTAAAATGGCACCATCGACGAATAGTTTAATTCTATCACTGAAGGTTGTGCTAATATCAATTGGGGCAGTTTCCTTAGCAATGGTATTAAAAGCGTCACTTCCATGGGTTTTTAACGAATTCCCAACCATTTGGAGTGTCGTTATAGCTTGGCTTAAACCTCTGTTTCTCTTTATTTTTATCAATGGTATAATCATCGCCATCGCTGCCACTTCTTGTTCCTCGAACCATAAGGAGCCCAACTAATCGAGCGATTGATTTCAACTGTCAATTACTGCTAGAACACCTCCACAGTAAGATTTGATAGCGATTACGCAATCGGAGCTTCACTCGGTCAAAAGTGAAGTAAAGGAAGTATTTGAGGCAGCCGCACCTGTGCAGGTGAACAAACTTTTTACCCAGGTGTTTGAGGTTAAGCTTGTGGTGGTGAATGGCTCTAGAGCTGTAAATGTGAATCCAGTAGATGAAGATGCGAAAGATGAGCCTGTTGACAGTGATGCGATTATGATTTCAAAATCTGTTGTGGCTCCGTTGTAGGAAGCCGAAACTGAAATTTACTAGTGTAAATTTGGTCCATTTCTGTTCTGTAATTTGTCCAAAGATGGGGTATGATTGGAGAAGAAGAAAGGGGGAGACAGATTAGTGGGAATGGGTGTGATAGATTCCTCCCATTTTTGTAAATGGGTCGGATAAGGTAAATGGGTTGAAATAATATCCATTTTTTGTTCTAGTCAAAGATTGCCATGTGGCCCAGTTAAAAATCGCCACGTCATTAAATGAAAGACCCACCAATTCCGCCGTCAGTCGCGGGGGTATTTTTGTTAATAGAATTAACGTCGTGTGTTTTTTTGGACGGATAGATGGACGGAGGGTATTTATAAACTATTTAACAAACGATAGGGATAGTTTGGGTCCTTTTCCGATTCAAAAATAACCATTTTCTATTTTATGCAAAAATTTATCAACTTCAAGAGATAAAGGATACTTAAACCAGAGAGTCGGAGGTTTTTCACATAGAGAACTGTTGTAAATGAAAATTCCACCAAACTTTTGACAAAGTACGAACAGAAAGAACAGTGGACCGCACTTCATCTTTCTACTTCAAGGAAGCAATAGTTGCTTTGACAGAGGGAAAACAAATATGATCTTCCCTCTTGAATTGGTAGACACATTGTATTCATCACAACTTTTACAGGCAAGACTCATTATAGGATTGTCTTCGAACAATTTGTTCAGCAGCACCTTGATTTACTTTTTCCACTAGTTAGTCAAAGTTGTGGTCTGTTCATTTACAAACCCTTTCCCTCTTCAGATGCATCTTTTGAAGTGGGACCACTTTTCTGAAATGCAACTCGGGTCTTATCCATATGAGAAAAGGTAAATTACTGCTCCACATTGAGGCATGCCAAAAAACTTGGTTAGGTGGTCCTCAGCATTTAATAGCTTAACATGTAAAAAGATGGTAGCTTCTTATATATCCTGATAGTTCACACTTATAATCTGGCTTCTTTATTTAAAGATGAAACAACATAAAAGGTGCTACTTTTACAGGATTCTAGAGCCAAGTTAAAAAGGCAAGTACTAATGAGGAGACTTCATATGAAGTATCAAGAAGAATCACCATCAAAGAAGAAATCTGAGCTTCTAAACATAAAAAAAAATGAAGCAAGAGCATATGAAGTTACGAACTCCTTTCTAAGAGTGTTATGACATACATTGCAGGGGGAGAATAAGGTCCTCATCATCACTCTAGAATCTGGGACAACTGCTCCCTTAGAAGCCAGCATTTTGACTGTTACACTACGGGAAGAAAAGAACAGAGAAAATTTAGGGGCAAAGGATATCCATACTATAATTATAGAAGTTAGTTTTCTATGCAAGGAATTTTAAACATTGCTTATGTGAGCACATGTAATGACTAATCTTTCCAAGTGATACATTTAGGTTATTTTTAACAACACATTCAAATGTGCGCCTATGGCAGGTTCAGTTTTACAGCTTATATGACGTGTGAGAATCCTGATTCAGTTTGGCATTGTGACATGCGAAGATGAACTTTTAGAAGGCAATTTGACAAACACATGGCAGGCAAACTGAAAGCGAAGCTGCCAAAAAAAAACGAGTGATCTAGCAAACAACTGTTGATTCCTTAGACTTATTAAGCCCAGAAGCAATATAAGCAAAAAGCAGAGTGGGGACGAGCAAGAAATACCGTTCGAGTCAATGCACCCAGGTTATGTTGCGCGGACTCTCCAAAATGTAGCCGCACCCGTGTCGGATCCTTAAAAAATGCACTACTTTTGGAGGATCCGACACGTATCTGGCCACATTTTCGGAGAGTCCGAGCAACATTTTCCTTCTTCCCCAACGTCTTTCTTTCACTTGGCACTTACAATTTTCGCTCACACTTAACAAAGCTTTGAACACATGCATACACGAGTGTATTCGTTTTAACGAAACGTTTGGGGGCGAAGCACGTGGGATTTCTGTGTCTTTCCTCCTAGTTGCGTATTATTTTTTTAATATATTTATTTTATTAAGAACTTCATTTTCGCTTTTCTTTTTCTTCTTCGTGAGAATAACTATGGTATACGAACAAAAAAATTTATATTTTAAAAGGCAACTTTTATTTTATTTATTTACTGGTGTTGTTTATTTATTTATTTATTTATTCTATCCGAGGGATTTCCCCTTTCATCATTGCGTAGATTTCTTTTTCATTCGTCATATTTATTTATTATGTGAATTGCAGATTCGATCCTCGAAATTTATAGTGAAATTATATTTGGTCATCATTGTCACACCTTCTTTTTCCCGAGGGAATAGGGGAGTTTTTCCAATTAAAATGACATTAATCGAAATGGGATTATTTATTTATTTCAGAGTCGCTACTTGGAATATTTATTACGGTGTCCCAAGTCACCGATTTAATTTAAAATCCCAAATCGAGAAAATTTGACTCTGTTTTAAAGTCTACGAAACCAGAAGACCGAGTAAGAAATTCTGTTAACCCGGGAGAAGGTGTTAGGCATTCCCGGGTTCCGTGGTTTTAGCACGGTTGCTTTTAATCATATCTGGATTAATCAAGTGTTTAATTACGTATTTTAGAACCTATGTGCATTTTTACCTTTTACCGCTTTTTAATAAGGCGTTTATGGATTTATCTTGGAAACGGACTACATGTGTGTAAATCCGTTTTATTTGGCGCGCTAAAATCATGTCACGCGTACATGTACACAATTAACCACGCTTTATTAATTTAAGATTGTTTGGCCAAAATTGCGCGAACGCATACCTCGATTTAATTTTAGAAATCGTAACTATGTCACGCGAACGTGTACACAATCACGATAATAAGTTAAGCCACGCCTAAAAGCATTAGGATCATGAGTTATTAGATTAATTTCCTAACTTTTGAGATTATATGTCAAAGTCGCGCGAACGCGTAACTTGATTTATCTGGGAATCGTAATTATGTTACGGGAACGTATAGATAATCACGATAATTTGATTAATTAAGAGCGTGCCTAAGTATTCTAATGTATATTCAAAGTTGTTCTTTCTAAAGTTTGAGATTCCTTGTAAGGCCATGGATTATGGAGTAGTTGTAGAAAAGTGTAGTAAATTAATTATGGAAGGTGGGATGGCAGAACTCTTTGGCCCATATCCTATATCCTCAACACCCAAAGCTCACTTTGTATATGATCACAAATCATTTGTTTAAACAAATTGGTGTCTTCCTTCCTCGTCACTATTTTTTAACTTTGACAAGAAGACATCAACGAAACTTGATTAATAACTATTAATTCAACTAAACCAGACAAACAAACTATAGCAGTAAAAGATCCTCCGAGACAAGATTAACATGATTAGAGTAATTAAAGAAACAATAGAACTTAGTAGCTTTAGGAAATTGGCCTGCCAAATACTAATTCAACATCTCTTAAATTAAAACCCAAAGAGGACACAACCAAACAATGGAGAAAATATCATGCCCTCTCACCATAAACTTATTCAAAAATAACAGTGAAAAAGAATGAACCAAAGCTTTCACTAACATCAAACAAGTTATTACCCCCAACAATATATTTTCTTATGATCACAACACTAACAAAAATATTCACAAAAAAAAAAAAACAGAGTTGATAAGATGTTAAAACATTTTACAAGAATAGAGCCACAAAGAACTAGTTCGACCAACACACCAGACTCATTGTCCATAAACTTTTTGGCCTCTATCACTTTATATATATGCCATGAATTAACAGAGAAGAGTTTTAAAATAAACTCGATAACTAAACGGCTAAATCTACAACACTGATTATGAGTATGACATGAGCAATTAACTTGAAACAAAGCTAATAACCGCAGATCAACAGAGACAGCATTCTGGATAACTTTTTATGGCTAAAATGCTAGATTTATAAAATCACAAACAATTGCAATACAAACAACCAGAATCTTATTCATAAGCTCAAAGAGAAAACAAGTGAATATCCACATACCTATGAGCAGAAAACAACTGAAAAGCAGATGAAGCAACCGAAAAAAGGTGCCAAATAACTTCTACATGAAAGTGATGAAGCCCGGAAAACTCGAATGGCTAAATTCAACAATGAAACAGCAACACTGGAGCTCAGTTATCCCTCCAAAATCCCAGCGGTAACAGTAGAAAATTCACGGCGAAATCAACCTTCAATAGGTTTGAAATCCAGAAAAAGGTCCCCGAAATCTCATTCTTGGATCTCGTTTTTTAGCTTTGAATTTCGGAATTTCTCTTCTAATCCGTGGAATTGTGTGAAAGGATTTCCGCTTGAATGTGAATATTCGTGAGTCTATGAGTGTGGGTGAGTGAGATGAGATGAAGAAGAAAAGAGGTCCGGCGGCTAGGTTTAGGTCATTGGAGGGGGAATAAGGGCGGACGTTCGGTTTTGTTCTTGTTTAGAGAAGGCTGCTGGTTGGAGCTTCAAAAATCAGAGGGAGCGGCGTTAGGTTGTTCATGGGGAGGATTTGATTTTTTAGTCTCTGCGTGTGTTTTTTCTTTTTTGTGTTCTTCTCTGTTCTTTTTCGAAGCGGGGAATTCCAAAATATATAGATATGTGTATTGTATAATTGATCAGAAGAAAGTGAGGAAGTGGGGATTGAAAGGTGAGTGTGTGGGAGTGTGAGGTGAGAGATTGGGATTGTTATCTAATTAAAAAATTCAGAATTTTTGAATTCATTTTTTTTAAAACCTTACTAGGAAAAAATCCTATGGTAAAAAAATCCTAGCGAAGGAAAAAGAGTACACGTATCTGTAATACGCTTTATTTGTTGCCTCGTTAAAAACCTTGCCAGGAAAACCCGGTGGGATAAAACCTTAGCTAAGGGAAAAAGAGTGCAACACATATTTGCCTCCCCTGATGAAAATATCACGACGAATTCCAAGCTTGTCTAACAACTTCTCTAATATTGAGATCGGCAATGCCTTGGTGAATTATTCCGTCAAATTATCACTTGGACGAATTTCTTGAACATCTATTTCATCATTCTGTTGAAGATCGTGTCTGACAAAGAACTTTGAGGAAATATATGATTTATTCAGTCTCCTTCAATATTCTTCTTTCAATTGAGATAAGCAAACATCAACTTCTTCATTATTATTGGAATCTTCTCTTCAAAGAAAAGTCACACATCTTGTGAAATGATAATACGACAATTCCTCACATACAAATAGATTGTTCGAATAACGGACTTCAATCAATGCCTGCATTTTCATAAACAACAAAACCTTGACAATATTTGTTAGAATAAACAAATCTATATCAAGGATTCTTTTTGCAATATAATACTAATCATATTTCAATATCTCCATATAGCCTTTATACTTTCAGCTGTTGGGACTATTCGTCCAACTTCATATTTTTCAGATAAAGTCAATTTTTATTGCATATTTTTCATTTGGCCAATCATTTATCTGTCCAAATTTCATGACAGATTTGAGCTCAAGATCTTCGTCAATATTAATAATATTAAGCGCTACATTATATTAACAACATCGTCGACGATCATTTTATATCGGTTCCATCATCGCACAATAAAGACATAACTTATCGAGATCTCATTATTTTCAAGTACCTGAGCCTCTCCCATAAGGTCTTATAGAGTGTTATGTCATGGTGCTCTTATAAAGCATTTGCCTCCTTATTATGACCATCTTGAACATTTGCTCCCTCCTTCTTCAAGGAGTTTTATCTTTGGAACCGATTTGTCTATTACGCTTCATGCGTGCCATAAACTCTATCCATCATTGACGTTATTCTATTTTGAGCATTAGCAGCTGGAATATGACATTTAGCTTTTGGTCAGCAAATGCTCCTGGCAATATTTTGAAAATGGATTATCACTTGGACTTCAAGTTCACATAAGTTCACATTTTCTTGTACGAGGATCTAGATGTATTCATAATAATTAATTCCACGTATCACTGTTTCAGCTGCCCATTTTCTCCCCCTAATGTCGGGATCACCAACACATTTTTCAACCTTCTTTGGGAACCCACCTTTGTGCATTGTGGCAGCACAATTAAATCATATAGCACATCCATATTTCTAGATGGGAATATTTGGTTCCTGACCGTGAACCAATTGTGATGGGGAGAATTTATCATAACTTGTTGGCTAGATGCGTACAAGTGTTGTTGTATATTAAATAATACACCTCATACCAAATTTTTATTTGGGAGTTTTGTTCTCATAACCAATGGTTTAGCTATAATTGGAGGCATACAATTTCTGCTAAACCAACTTGGATTTAAACCAGTATTATCAAGATAAATTATCGTATATATTCTGAAACTGTGCTCTAATAATTTGAGCAAACAACCTTGCAAAACCAAAGTGCAACTTGATAACAAACGCACATGTGACCATACAATAGATGCATCTATTAAAATCATATAATAGTAAACGATCCACATGGCAGGTAACTGGGCCCATATATATATCACCTTCTATTCGTTCCAGAAATCAAGGGATTCAGTCCCGACCTTAACTGGTATATCATGAGAATAAGCAACACAAGAGAATTCTTGAAGAATCTTCTATTTTTTCAATATATGCCAATGTGAATTCTCAATTAATCTTCGCATCAATTAACCGAGATGGCCAACCGGTCATGCCAACTGATATTTATTTCAGTAAACATTTAATTTACTATGGCATGTGATTTCATATCATGCTTATACATTTGTAGTAAATAGAAGAAAATTCGGGTAACCTTCATATTTACCCGATATGTTATAGTAATATGGAGCTAATCGATCTTCCTTTCATTTATAGTCTCAATATGCCAACCACTTTGGTTAATACATTTGAAACTTAAAAAGTTTCTTTTGAGACTTACTACAATATCAATGTCATGAACAATTTTATTCATCCGGGTAGTAACAAATTAGCTCTTCCGGAGCTCTTAACTGATTTTTGTACTACAAGATCTTTTGTCACACCATCCATACGGTGAATGTCTCCTTCACGGAGAAAATCATATCATAATAATTGTCATGGTCAAAATCATCATAAGCAAAATAATTTCTTGCTTTACTTTTGCCTTTAATAACTTTTTATAAGGCATGTCAAATTATTTTTTGGCGTACCACATGTACGCGACCAATGACATATTCATGTAATCACATAGTAATGTTCATGATCTTTCTTTCTCTCAAACCTCCCGTAGAGGTGAGTTGTAGTATTTATTCAACCATGCATAAATACATTCTTGTGGATAATTTGTATCATATATATATTTTTGCACTCACTTTAGGAATGAGTCTGCATTTACAATGCTTATTATAAGTCGCATTCTTTCAAAAAAATGGACTATAATCATCTGCTACAGATTCAAAAATAGTGGCTAATACCTAACAATAGCCACAAAAATAAAAATTTCATAGCTATTTATAAAATCCTAAAAATCCATAGCTACGAAAATTAAATTGGCAAAGCTAATTCCTTATTTTTGCTATGATCACTAACTATCGTGTCAATAATTACCTAAATAGCTACAAATTTATTGATACGATAGATTTTTATAGCTAATCATAAGCTTTTTGCAACACGTTCAAACTTCTGTAGCAACAGTAATCTTTTAGCCACAATAAATTATTCAAACCAAAAAATTGTAGCTAAATAAATATTTTTTTTCTTCAAGTTATAAAATATTGTGGAAATAATTAGCTTAACAACCACAATTAGTTATCACGGTGAAATGATATAGCCACATATTTATTGCTATAATAAAATTTCATAGCTAAACATATGTTTTTGCCACGAGTTGAAGTTTACTCTAGCAGTAGTAACCATTTTGCCCCAGTAAACCATTTTTACTTCAAATTATAAATTAAAAAAACATGGCAATAGTTGGCTTAATAGCAACAATTTATTGCTATGATAATATTTCGTAACTAGCCATATATTTTGTCCACGAGTTGAAATTTATTGCAGCAAAAGTAACATTTTAGTCATAATAAATTATTTAAAGTAAAATATTATAACTAAATAAATACTTTTGCTTCAAGTAATAAATATGTGGCAATGGTTGGCTTAATAGTTGCACTTTATTGCCATGATCAAATGATATAGCCACAAGTATTACTATAAATTTTTTGTAGCTAATCATATGTTTTTGCCACGATTGAAGTTTACTGTACCGCAAGTAACCTTGTTGCCATAATAAATTTATTTGAAATCAAATGTTGTATCTAAATAAATATGATGAGAAACGTATATTTTTAGTCGCTCACAAAAATAATAATCGATAAAATATATCTCTTTTGTATATATGTGTATCATATACATGTAATATACATATTTTATATACTTGGCTAGAGAATGCAATTAGTTTTGACCGGTCAATTTTGTATTTGTCCTAATTTAATTTTCTTCAAGTTTTAAAAATTATGGCAATTGTTAGCTAAATAGATATAATTGTTTTCATGAGAAATGATATATCCACAATTTTATTGCTATGATAAAATTTCGTAGCTAACCACTAATTTCTTTCCACAAGTTAAAACAAACTATAACAATAGTAAATTTTTAGCCACATTAAATTATTGAAATAACATTTTCTAGTTAAATGAATATTTTTGCTTCATGCTATATAAAAAATGTGGAAATAGTTTGTTACATTTTTATATAATTTTCATATATTGAATTACATTAAGTATTATGAATCTAATATGGTTGATATCTAAGTCCATAGCTACAACAACAACAACCCAGTAAAATCTCACAAGTAGGGTCTGGGGAGGGTAGAGTGTACGCAGACTTTACNATTTTATTAGATAAATATAACTTGTAAGTTCCAATTATAACTAAAAATAATGAAACTATTTACATATAATGTGTGAATAAACAATTATATAGAATTTAAATAACTATAATCTTGTAGTCCCAAGATAAGTTATCCCAGGATAAAGCAGTAAAATTGACAATTCTAGAATTAATACAATATACCAAACAATCAATAAGAAATAATACTAGGATAACTAATCCCCGCACAACTGATCTCATCATAACTTATCTTCAAACCAAACGATCCCTTTATAGATGTATAAATATTGTAACTAATTCTAAAAATATATATTCTATTTATACTTTAAATAAATCTTTTATTGCAATTTAAATTTTTTCTACGATCTAAATTTATATAAACAATATCTTAGTTCCCATTTTGTTTATTTGTTGTTTTGCTAGCAAAATTTTATTATTACTACATAAGTTTTGTTTATAGTTTATTACATAATATTGTGCAGGTACTCGAGCACAAATATATGAAAAGTTAAAAGGCAAAGTTACAAATAAAAAAGAAACGACAAACAGAAGAAAAAGATTCCCTTAAACACCTAAAGTTAAGCCTCTCAATTCCCATAAAGACCTAAAATATTAGACTCCTAGAAATTTCCCCCCAAAAGCTATCGGCACCATCTCTTCCAAATCCCAATCCTTCACCACTCTAACCAACCATCCTTGAAGGCTTGAACCCTCGTCCCTCGTCCTCCTCATGGAAAACATAACCGTCAAGGTATGGCCAACCTAGTCTTTCTTTTGTTTCTCTTCTTAATTTCGATTGTTGCTATTGCTTTCATAGGATTCTTGATTGGGAATAGTTCTTTTCAGTTTCTTCATTACAGTGTGGCACTAAAATGTCAATTTTATTATGAATGGAGGAGCTTTTTCGTATATTTTAATTTCTATATTTGCATATGTTTAAATTAGTTTGTTGTATGAAATGTGAATTAGTAGCTCATCTTGATTTTTGTAATACTAAGTCCGGACAAGCCTTTTTTCCTATAATTTCTTATATATTGTTTATTCTTCATTACCTCCATTTGTAGACTAGGGATCTTAAATGACTTTTTGGGTTGTGCACAGTTTACAGCTATATGGACACAAAAAAACCATACTAATAAATTTTCTCTATTAGAGTAGGTACTGTTCACAGTTGTAGTGGTTATTATCTATGTGAATATTTGCAGAGAGCAAATGAGTTGGCGAGGCACAATTTTCACCCAAACTTTGATGATCAGTTGAGTGGATATAGGGGTGAGTATCTGCATTCATTTTGATGTGCAAACTTCTAAAATAATACGTCATATGANGCTATCCAATGAATTTGCTGAGATAGTAGGAAAACTTCTCAAACCCATAAAGCTAGAACTCAGTCATTACTCATTAGCACCTTAGGTCATTGTTCTAGAACTCATAACCCATACAGTTAAAATTTTGCCTCCGTCTCTGAGTGCAAAGTTGATTTGGACTTCCCAAAAGTAGAAGTCAGATTTCAGCATCTGACAGTTGAAGCTTATGTGCATCTTGGCAGTCGAGCACTGCCAACCATTTCAAATTTTATTTTCAACATGACCGAGGTATTCCCCATGCCATCAATTATTACGTTAGAGTAGCACTTGATCATTTTAGCATATGACATCTCCCCTCTCTCTGTATTATGTGCAAACATGTCAGGCTTTCTTAAGGCAGCTCAAAATATACTCTAGCAAGAGAATAAAGCTGACAATTTTAGATGACATTAGTGGGATAATTCGACCTTTCAAGTATGAATCAATCATTAACTCCCAAGAAATCAAAAGCTGGTGAGAGTATGTTTATTTAAAACATTATGATGTTCATTTCTAGATTAACACTCTTATTGGGTCCTCCAAGCTCTGGCAAAAGCACATTGTTATTAGCACTTGCTGGATGCCTCAAATCTGACTTGCAGGTACGGTCATATCTGAATTTTCATGATTTGGAGGTAGAGAAAGAACATGTTCTGCTAGATAGTAATCTTTTTTTTTCCTCAATATTCTACTAAAATGTTGATCAATTTGAAGACGTCAGGGAATATTACTTACAATGGACATGGTCTGAAAGAGTTTTTCCTCAAAAGACATCCCCTTATGTCAGTCAACAAGATTGGCATATAACAGAGATGACTGTAAGGGAAACTATGGACTTCTCAGCATATTGTCAGGGTGTTGGATCAAAATATGGTAAAGCTCTATGCAAGTCTTCCAGTTTTCCTACATTACCTAAGATGAACTGTTGAATTTTACAGATATGCTATTGGAACTTTCAAGAAGAGAAAAGATGGCAGGAATAAAACCTGATGAAGATCTTGACCTATTCATAAAGGTCAGTGTGATTTTCTTGAATGGCTTTTCTCTAACTATATATATTATTCTTCTTAATGAATTTATCGCAATTCATACATATGTATTCTCCATGTAGGCATAAGCTTTGGAGGGGAACGAGACTGCACTTGTTGTTGAGTACATTCTAAAGGTATTTTTAAATGCTGGCTTACTTGTAGACGCTATCCAATGAATTTGCTGAGATAATGTTGTGCTTCAAACTAAGAGCTGCTAAATAAGGCTTATGTTTTGAACGGTTTCCAGTCTTTTCGTATATGCTTTAATAATCTTAAGGTTTTAAAGAAGCAGATCTTACCCTACCAAAGAAACTGTTGTTTAGTTCAAACGTGATTAACAAGTCCCAACTAGTTAATGTACTAAACTTATGGTGTTGATGTCATTTTTGTATATACAGGTTAGAGTCTATGACTCATTCATATATAGTTGTAGAAAGAGAAGGTGGCAGTCCTGCAAGATTAGGAGGGTAACATGGCAGTCTTATTTACTGCGCCCTTCTTATTGATATCCATAAGAAGAACACTTTCTTTCACGCATTTGGTACAAATACAATCCACTAATGTCTCTCAACTCGCGATCGGAATCTGGTATTAGAAAAGCATTGGAGCACTTTTGGATTTTCACTTCTCTTCATATTCCGCTGATGGTTACTATCACTATCCAGTCTCACATTAGCTAGTTTTCTTTTAAAGCTGTATATTCGTGTTGTAAAAGAGCTATGTAGGAAATTATTCTTTCTCTTGTAGAAGAATACCGTTACGTTTTGAGTATAACAACATTTTAGTATTTTAATTTATCTTGAATGATATTGTTGAACCTTTAATTATGTATTCTTACTAATGTATATCATTTATTAAAAACAATTGAAAATATTTTGCTAAAATTTATATATTTGAGCTAAAATATGAATTGTTAGTTACAATATATAAATTCTTGTGGCTAAAGCTGATCGTGGCAAACTCTTCAGTTTATTGCTACGAAATTATGGAATTCATACCTAATACAATATAAATATTATTGTGGCAAATACTTTAATGTATTGCTACGGACTTTTGAACTTATAGCTAAACACAAGTACTATTAATACGAGAATAAATTATAAATTTAGCCACAAAAGTTGAACTTTTGTGGCAAATAAATTAAATCTTTTGCTACAGCACAAAATCTTGTGGCTACAATATAAAAATAGCAACAAATTTTATTTGTCGTGGCAAAAGAATAAAAAATAACTTGCTACAAGTATATTTTTTGTGGCAAGAAACTTTTACCATCACAGCTATAACATAAAAAGAATTCGTGGCAATAAGTATTAGTCCTTAGCCACGGATCATGTAAAGTTTGTAGCTAACTTTTAGCTACGCTACATTTTGCTACAAATGCTACGGAAAAAAATATTGTGGCTAAAGTGTTTAGCCACGGAAATTTTCAAATTTAGCTACAATGTATTCCGTAACTATAGATGCCGTATGTTGTAGTGTAATTCCTTCACCTTTGAAGGATTATTTTGAGAAACCTTATTGTTCTCCTTTTTACGATTACCATAATGATGACTATTATTATTTTGGTCTTTGGCAAACCACTTTCATTGAACAACCACTTGTCTTCATTTAGACTTATTATGCACCGCTATCACATTCACTTCAAGAATGGAGCAAATCAAGTGGGACATTTCATGCCTTTTCATGAAAGATACATTATTTTTCTTTTATTATATAATCAATATGGTGCATTAGGGCTCAAACCCAATGCCTTACCCATATAAAGGCATCTTAGACAATAATGAGTTGGGTCTCGAAATCAACTCTTATCATTATGGTGCACCAGGACCCTAACCCGATGTCTTACCCCCATGGTGCGGTGGAACTTAAAACCTACCGTCTTATCCTTAACCTTCGGCATAATAGGCCATAATGCATCACCCTTGAGCCTTTAATCACGGGGAGCCTTAAATAACATTTCCATCAATTGCCAAAAAAATGACTGCCCATGGACATGTATAATACACATGCAAATCAAAAGATTGGCTGCAATAGTATAGAAACTTAAGTCAACATTCATATTACAATCATCTAATGTGAAAAAGAAAAAATGTAAGATCCCACTTGGCAGAAGAAATATCATGGCAAAATAAATAATTTTGAGATTAGTAAAGCTAAAATATGAATGAACTAGAAGGATGTAAACATATCTTGTATTAGCATCCATTCCAGTGGCTTCCATCAATTGTCAGACTTCTATTTTTGTTTTGTTTGATAGCCACTAATTATGGTATAAGGATAGTGCACAATATATGCCTTTACGGAGGTGTACAAAAATGAAAGCATATTTAGTTGGAGATTCGTGCTGATAACGTGTTACGAAACTTAACTCAAAGTAATAACATAAAACAAGAAGATAGACAACAATGCAGAGAGAAAGAGAGGAGAGAATCTATTTCTTCCATGTATTCAAGTGTGTATAATGTGATGCCCAAACCCTCTATTTATAGGATGATATAGGTAATACAAAGGGACTCCATAAACATGGTATTAACTATTGAGAATATGGGGGAAGATCATGGAAGAGTGGGAGTTACATCCATAATGGTAAGAAGTAGTGGGAGGTTAATGGAGAAGAGTAGTGGGTGTTACTCCCTTAGGAGTTATGGACATCCACCATAATCAAGTATTTCATAACAAAATTAAAATATTAAATAAGAAGATTAACTAATATTTCTTACAAAATAGGAAAATCATATATTTACATGATATTTAAGAAAAATACTAATAACTTATTATAATTTTAATTAAAAGAAATATTATATTTTTATAAATAAAACATGTATTCTAAGAATGTTAATATATATTTTGTAGTTTTTAATTATCTTAAATAAACTCTACTAAAAGAAGATAAAAGTTTTAAAATATAACGATAAGACCTAAAAGAAATATTTAACACTACAATAGTATAGAATTCGGTGTGGTCAAAAATTAGTTGTTCACAATTATATTTTTCATAATCTTGATTTTGACCTCTATGTGTAAGTATTTGTTCGAAAGTGGACATGATATTTGATAAAGAAATGAATATTGAACCTAACTTAACTCTAAAAAGTAGCTCAAATGATAAGTATTGTCCAAGCCCACCCCTTTATCGCCAATGTAGGACTCTTCAACAAATATTAGTACAGCACCCGCGCGATACGCGGAGAACATAAATCATGTTGTGTTATCTAATTTATTTGACCATATTATATCATATTGCATGAATTAAATTTTAATTTTCTTTTTCTTACTCAATGAAATATGACCAATAAGAAAATCGGATGAAATTAGAAAAATATTCATATGGTCATCGAATGACTTTTCAGTTCCTCATTTTTCTTTATTACATAATGTGAACACGTGATTTTCGCCCTATATGAATTACTCCCAAAAAACCCAAAACAAAATAATTTCTTTTCATTATTTGCAATTGTGAATTTTCGTGGCATTTTCTGTTAATTGTTTGCATTTGTCTGTGCATTTTAATTAATGAAAAATACAAAATATATATTGCATTTGTATTTAGGACTTAATTTTATATATTTTAGATTAATTAGTAATTAGGGTTTTACAAAAATAGAAAAATCACAAAAAATAATTTATTTTGCATTGTTTAATTTTAATCTTTGAATTTTGGTAGTTTTTTCTTAAATTTGGTTTTTAATTAATGGTGTTAGTTATTAATTAGAGTTTAAAATAATTTGGGTAGGTTAGTTTAGTTTTTAAGAATTAATTTAGGTTTTTAGTTTAATTTGAAAAGAAAAGAAGGAATTAAATAAAGAAAATTTGGTCTTCTTTAATAAGGAACCCAATTTTGGGCCAAATCTAATTAAGACCACAAGCCCAGTCTCTTATTCTCCATACCCGTCCACATTCCAGGCCCAATATTACACCCCAACCCGGTCAGCCCTTCCTAATATCCTAAACGTCGTAGCATTGAGTTTCCCATTCAGAATTGATCTGAGCCCTTCATATCACCACATCCAACGACCAAGGGAGCTTCATCACACTTGTATAACATTGTCCGAAAATGCCGAGACTAGTTCAGTTCCCCTCATCTCTCTCGTCTCTATCGGTCTTTAACCCTAGAGCAACCTTAGGAATTCCACCATTCTCACAAGTGATTAACCTTCCAAACATCACCAAAAATCAAACCTATATTCCCCATGATCCTTCAAGCACAATGCTGGTACAAATCTCTGCAAATCCCCCCCCCCCCCTCCCGAATCCAGTCAATCCAGATTTAAAAGAAGGAAAAGAAGAAAAGGGTAAAACCTCTCAAAGTCATCGAATCTCAGAGGACGATTAGGGCTGAAATCGCCCTTGGTGGTTTGTTCTCAACGAGAACAATCGATTGAGGCCGATTTCGGATTCGAATCAAAGTCCGCATGATTTCATCAAGCCTCGTCCGCATACCTATGTAGGTATTTCGATTTTTCCCTCGTTCTTCTCCTTTTCATTGTTTCGTTCCTCGCCGTTGTCCCCTATGTTTCCTCTTTTCTTGTTCATTTTGTTTATTGTCTTAAATTGTTACGTTTGCGTGATTGAAATCGAGTCGTTTCAGTGCAATGTTCAGTTGGTTTCGGATTAGCATTTGTCAGTTTTACTTTGTTTTATTTAGTTACAATTTTGCTTTTGGGTCTAATTTCAGAATGTGAGGTCTTTGTTTTCTTTAGTTTGATTGGGGAATTCACCTGCCTAAAATGAAATTGGGTCTGCTAAGGGTGAAAAGCGCAATTAGCTGTTCAACTCGATGGGGCAGGGGCCCAAGGGTATTTGGGCAGTTTGGGGTGCAAGGTCTGTCAGTAGGTAAATACAGGACGCTGGGAGGGTAGTTTAGGAAATAGGACATGGGGGAATCTTTGGTAACTAATTTCAGAAGTTTCTAGTAGGGTTTTAGGAGAATTTCATACTTTTGGGTGGTTTAACTTGGGTAGCAAGTCAATAATTAGAGGATATCTAGGCAAAAGTGAAAATTAAAAGAGGTCTAAGGTATAAAAATGAGAGCCTGAGGGTTGCCCTATTTGGTTTGCCTATAAAGACACTCTTTCTTGCCTTAGAAGGCAGATTTCGAAGAGCTAAAAATTCAGCCAGCTAAAACGATTAAAAATTACTGTTTCACTGAACCTCTGTTCTGAATTCCGAAGTTCTCCGTGATTTGATAAACAATTTCTGATTTCTTTTGAGGTGGAGAATGATTTGACCTGGGGTATTGGAAGAACTAATTTGATTTCGTTGATAGGTACACTGTTTTATCAAGTTTTTTGGTTGGAAGTGCACTATTTCATTGCTGAAGGCTATTCTGATTTTGGGTTTTAAAAGTAATTTGCATTTGAAGCTGTGGTTTGATTTTGTCGTTGTTGGTCTATTCTTGCTGTTCCACCTTAGTTTCAAGCTAATATTTGGTCTTTTGCTGATTATCCAGGTACTTCTCAGACCTATGAATGTATGATATGTGGGTTTAAGGTCCTGAAATCCATTGGAAGCTCGAGATGCTTATAAACTTTGATATTAAACATTGTTTGTGTTTTATGAAGAATGTTATATCGATTTAGCACATCTGTGATTTACTATTTTCAAGTATGTTAGTAAGGATCATATGAGGCCATGTGTATTTTCATGTTTATGTGGATTTGCAGGGCAAATACTTGTCATCTTTACTTGTTTGGTTGCATTTATTTTACCAGAATGGTCCATGCCTATTAGGAATACACTCATTGTTGGTCAAATTCTGTTATTTTAAATCTTCAGCTTATCATTTTAGTTCTTAAGGATCAAGGTGTGCCTAATTATTTTACGTTAGATCTAG